ATATATATATCATATGTATATATGGCCGTGGCTTAGTCCGTGGGTGATACGGTGCTATCACCAGCATAGCGCGCACGTCGCGCGTTGACCGCGGTCACAGTGTTCTACCGTACCTTTTATATTGTATTCGTTATGTTTTGAGTTTTATGTAATTTCTTTGCTTTACGTCGTATTCGCGCGTCAGGTTGTCCCCCGTGAATTATTTGGTGTACTCCGCGCCCCACCGCTCGCGCACGCTGCGACAATCGCTCTCGATACAGTCTTTTTCCCTACGGTCTACGCGCACTGCGCAGTGGCAGTACGCCAGTACGCGCACGATCGCCGATCGATACGCCGCACCTAACTTTACTCGATGCTGTGCATTTAATCACCGTTTTGTGTTTATTTTGTTATAAATATACCGGTGATTCAACGCCTTAAAGTAAACCACACGTACGTTGTTCGATCATTTTATTTGTCTTATCTTCTGAACAGAGTAATAAAAGTTGGTCGTTAGTGAGAGACGGTTTTACCTCCACTAACGCCACACACTCTATACTCTGTCTCACGAAAGAACGGGACCGTGTCTCGACCAAAATCGGTCATTCTTGCGCATCCCCACGCCGCACCGCGCCACAGCACTACAACGACGACGACGGTCGTCGCTGGTGGTTGCCGGCGGTCGTGGTGAGGAGTAAACGGTGAGCTCTTTCTACATGCGCGAAACGGTCCCGTTCTTTCGTGAGACATACTATATGATATTTTCAAACCGCGATTTAGTTTATCTCATGACAAAATAAATAGGTATGTCAGCAACTTAGTGATACGCACAAAATGGCGTACGTCGTTCGCCTATTATCAATTATTATTGTATCARTACCACGGACTAAGATATATCTTAGTCCGTGACACGGACTACTACACTGGACTGGAAACGTCATGGGAGGCGGGTGACGGGGTAACGGGACGCTTAGTGTCCGCGAGAGAGGTGTAGAGAGAGGAATAAGTACGTGAACTAATCTAGCGCTACCTGGTTTACCACAGGCTTACTATACTTTCAAACGAATATATAATATAGGATGATACGACCACAGATTAAATAAATAATGATACGACAAACGTATTAAACTATAACTTATATATAACTAATTAATAACTGCATTATTATTTATTATTTATTTTTAATATTATAAAATAATAGTTTCATACACTTCAAATTACTTCTACTGTAAAAAGTTCTCTTCTATAGGTGTGAGATGGTTCTTGGTATTGAATATTATGAGAGGGTACTTGTTTAGAGTCTATTTGATTGAATAACGAGGGTATAGCCCCCTTCTTCAATGAAAACACTTTTTTCTGTCCAAATTCCTTTAAAATTAATAAGTTTTAATACCAAATTCCTTTATTATAATATGATATACTTATTCATTTTAACTTTTACTTCAATCACGTCTGATGGTATTGGATATGTAGTACAAATATCTTCAGGTAAAAAATGTTCTAAACAAACATACTTCAGGTCTTTTACCTGATTACTTATTGAACTACATATTGCCGTTTCCCAAGATGATTTATTATCATTTGTGACACTGAAAAGTGTCACTTTAATATCGCGATTCTGGCTGTTACACCCAGCAACTGAACACTTACGCATTTTAAAGCTTAATTATTAATAA